GGCAAAAGGAGGCGGCTCCAAAGATCCTGCTGCTGCTGGCTCAAAAGACCCTGCAAAAGGAGGCTCCAAAGATCCTGCTGGAGCCGGTTCAAAAGATCCGGCAAAAGGAGGAGGTTCTAAAGATCCTGCAACTGGTTCAAAAGATCCGGCCGCTAAAGGCTCTAAAGATGGCTCCAAGGATCCTGCGAAGGGTGGTTCAAAAGACGCCAAAGGCGGTGGATCAAAGGACGCCGGTGGAAAAGGAGCCGGATCAAAGGACGGCAAAGCTGATGGGTCAAAGGATCCAGCTGGCAAAGGCGGCTCTAAAGACGCTAAGGGCGGTTCAAAGGACGCCAAGGGCGGCGCCTCAAAAGATGCAAAGGGGGCGAGTGCCAAGGGCGGCGGCGCTTCAAAGGATCCGAAGGGCTCAAAGGCGGCAGGGTCAAAGGCGGGCAAGGATGCGCCTAAAGGCTAAAGTGATCATTCAGTTTTCATCATCACCATCACTGCAGCCACTGATATGATTTTGTCATGCAAATAAAGAGGGCATTTTACAATTCCAGGTAACAAAGCAGAGACTGAAGCACAACATAGTAGTGAGTTCAATGCACTCCATTACAAATTACATTTCTGTCGAAATGTTCAGAGAGCTGGCACAGTAATTGGCACAGTGCAACCAGTGCCTTCCACCGAATGAATCACACACAAAAGTGTCACCTGAATTACAGCAGCAACAACCACTTGCTGTGGCGCCCAGCCATTTTCATTGTGTTCTCTTGACCGTGAACAGTGCTGCTGCTGCTGCTTCCTCAATTCAATTCACTCGGGTGGTCGTCCTCTTCAAACTTGTTTACCCCTTCTTCTTCTTCTTCACTACCATCATCATCAATTGTGTTGCAAGTGTGTGCTGAAGTGCCTCTTTTGAAAAGTTGGCACTGCAAAGTCGGTGGGCTGCCTCTTCTTCTTCTTCTTCTTCTTCTTCTTCTTCTTCTTCAGTCTGTCAGTTAGCTCAACTCAACATTGGTCACTCGTCTTCTGCCCCGTCTTCTGTGCCCCCAGCTCGCCAGACTGTGTTTTTATTGTGGCAGAGTTCTGAGCAGTACTACTAGTNACTACTAGTGCAGTGCTTGTGCAGTGCAGAGCAACTGTCACTTGGTGCGTTCAATGTGCTCAATGCTCAGAGTGTATCTCTTTGCTTGGTGCCTCTCTCTCTTTCCTCTTCACTGTTTCAAGTGCACTGCTGCCGTCGCTGCACTATTGAGT